GTTCTCTATTCGAGTGTACGTGTATAGATTCAGGCGTTCGTTTGTTGTTGCTGACGGAAGACTCGTGGTAATATTCAGAGTCGAACTAACGTTTTTGCATATGAGAATTAATATTATTGTGCCAAGCGCGAAGCATAATTCAAGGGTTCTTTACGCCCCATGGCTTTGTTGACACGCATCAAAAATTGATACATTTTGTTCGCCACGCTGTTGGGCCGGGCGTTCCCACGCACGTCGCCATAGTAACAGCACGTAGCAGCAGCGGCGCTGGTAGACTCCCTGGCGCCGCAGACCACGTGGCGTTCCGGCGCGCCAATCACAGCGCGCAGACGGGGACCCGCCCACCAGTCGGGCCGCAGAAGAGTTGAGACTCCGCCCAGAGACACCGCCTGAAGATTTTTAGACGACAGTAGCTTGTTCCGCCCTGCACGGCCGGCGCGGCTTTGTAATTTTCTTGTCCTGATTTCATCCCAAAATTTTTCACAGAGTCAACTTTTATAGTCTGAGAACAAATGAATCTGCGTCAAATTTTGCATAAACACGTCAAGTTCGGGTTGTCCCGTACCGTGTTTATTTATTTTTCGGGTGCGTTGCCGTTTTTTTTTTTTTTGGCAAAAAAATCGACTCCATTTTCATCGCACCCACTACATCGCACCCTCGTACATCCTCGCGCAGGTTTATTCAAAACTACACAAACAATACATGAATCTGTTCCTTACAAATGTATTTCTCAATATATCCGAATCCAAGATCGCTATATTTACAAATTGTACGATTTTTCACGATCAAAATTGTCCGGCATTTCTGGACGCACGTTACGAAGCGCTCCCTCCCACTCGAGTGCAACACACGTCCACCGCTACGAACCCTCTGCATTCTCGCCAATCCTCGCCCTAATTAACTCAAAACCACACAAACTACATGTATTACGAAACTGTTCCTTAGAATGTATATTTGAAACATCTAAATCCCAGAATGGTAACTTTGCGAATTGTACGAAATTTTACGGTTAAAAACTGATTGGTTGTTGCTCGGAAGCCAGCGGCGGCGTGGGGTGACGGACAAAGAGTAAAATTATGTATTTGCTGTTTTGTTTTGTACGACCAAAAATAGACTATTCTAGTAAATAAATTCAGGACTGAAAGAATCTTTCGGGAATACATATATACTGTATTTGTATGTGGGTTTATTGTGTATTTGACACAATTTTTGCGTTCATTCCACCGGGAAGTGTTCCGCGATCAGCGTGGGTTTCAAAACAAGAAACACAAGATCAAGAAACAAAGCTCCCGCTAATTAGAACCCTGTAACAATTCAGACCACAGCGATCATGTTTTCGATAAATATATTTGTGTACATGCACGTTTCAGAGAGGTAGAAATCTTAACTCAATCTATTAAACCACATTCTAGCTCAGGAATTTACGATCTTCACTGTTGGGTAAAAAATATCGGCAGATCTCATGAACATTTTCACTCCGCGCTATAGAAAATGTAAACAAACCGGGTGTGATCTTTCTCCGCCCACGGCGCGGGTGGCCTGCATATGAAAAGGACGTATTTCTGCGAAAACGCGGCCTTACGCAGGGGTGTTCTGCGGAACTTTCGCAAAGTTCTGCGAAAGTGCTCTCAGGTGCACTGCGGGAAGCCGTGCGGAATACCGCGGTACGTCCTGCGAAATACCGCAGAACGCCGTGCGTAAGATTGCGGAACGCCGTGCGTAAGATTGCGGAACGTCGTGCGTAAGATTGCGGAACGTCGTGCGTAAGATTGCGGAACGTCCTGCGGAATATTGCGGGACGTCCTGCGGAATACCGCGGTACGTCCCGCAGAACTTGATGCGTATTTCGTGGCCTGTACTGTAAGGACACTTAAACTGTGGCTACCATTCTACAGCAGGCATGAATGGTCCCTGCAAGAGACATCTATCAAAAATGGCTGGAGACCACTCTGCTTAATGGATTGAAGGTTATACTCATATGTCCATTGACACATGAAGCTATGCTTATCTTTTTGAAAAGGAATCACAAAAGGTACATTAGCAGGGATTGTGCCTGTACAAGTGATCCATAACGTGGTGCCATATTGGAATCAAAGAAATTTTCTTCCCTATTTCCTTTTTTATCAACATATTCCTGTTCACTGGATACATTTACATCAAATATAAGTAACCTCGAGTCGAGTAGATGAGAACTAAATGTACCCATATATGCATCACCCACTCGTGTCTAATGCCAGCGAAAATGGCAGGAAAGAACATCAAAATGGCTACAACTACTAGCATCAGCGTTATCCAACCAAAATCGAATTATGTTGTTACTAGTACTGTCACCTTTCATAAACATAAAAAACAACCAGGGCCTATTTATTGTCCTTAGGCATAATATATCAATCTACATAACATAATTAGCTTCACAGAGAAGAGGAGAAAGTTATCTGTGTGTAGCATGTCTCTTGAGAAAACAGTTAATACCACAAATTCAGGACATGGTCGGTTAACAGACCTGTTGAAATTTTTATTTTTAAGTAAGACCATAAATTATACACTATAATTTTACATCACCTTTTCACAGAAATTCTTTAAAAATGGATATCTGGAAGCCATTCATATAAGAAAAATTACCAAGAAAACACTTATGAATGTCTTAGGCACAAAGCTGTATACTACTAGTAATCTATAGTTATCAGGCAGAGTTGTAGTTTTTAGGGTTCATGGACAACCTTACCTTGCCAGCATTGCTAAATAATTGATCTGCTTGGCATAGTGCATACACAAACAGGGCCAGAGAGACACAGCCCTTGGCCGAGGATGTAGACATCGTGTGATCACGAGTGTTTAGAAACACTTAAAATGGTATACGGTAAGGTTTGACCGGATCGTTACCTTGAATCTCTTGTCCTGCAACACCTTTTTGATGGCCACGAGTTCGCCAGTGTCGCAGAGGCGGGCCTGGTACACCACCCCAAACGACCCATTGCCGATCACTTTGGTGTCCGTGTAGGCCACTTCCTGTGGCCGATCGGGCCCTGCACCAGGAGTTGCTACGACTGTAGTCACCTTGCTGCCATCTTTATCCCCTGGGCAAAACACCAGGGGTAGGTTGTGAGACATGGGCGTGAAAAGATCGGGAGGGGAGGGCGACAAAAATGATCAAATATGGCAGTTGATCCAGAGGGATGGGAGGGAACATGGAGGACAGACTACTTACGGCTGACTTTCACCCCTCCGAAGGATGGTGCCTGGTGCCCTGGCTTATTACCCTCGGCGAAGGATGTTGTTCGTGGTCTTCCGCTCATAATATCGTCCTTGTTCAAGGTTAGGGTTTACGGAGGGGATCAAAAAGATCAAAGAGGATCGCACTGATATTCCAGCTTACATCATATGTGGAGGGGTCCGGAAAAATCAATCAACCCTTTAGGATACAGCACCCGGGAATACTGGGCGAGATTTTGCCACAAATCTCGGCCATACAACATAGAATACCACAAATTGTTGTCGCTAAAGATCTTAGGGATCTTTCGACGGCACAAAAGACCCTATCCGATCTTAAATTGGTCGCAAATCGCACAGGAAAGACGAACGTTGTCCCGCTGTTTGGAGCAAGTTTCTCGTTGCCACTTGCTGTCAGCTCGTGATGACATGTGCGCAGCCCGCCCCTTCGGCCTTCGTTGACCAATCAGCGGTGTGGGTTTGTCCGCCGAAGAATCCCGAGCGTTTCCGGAAGTCCTTCGGAAGGCTCCGGAAGCGTTCGGGGGACAAAAATTTCAACGAAGTCGATGACGTCATAAAGATTAGCTGTGGCATCTTGGGATATACATCCGGGCACTTCAGACATGGCGGACGTCTTTTGATTTGGCCCGCGATCTGGGGTCGGTGCGAACTGCACTGCCCTTCAATACTGTTTGTTTGTAGCATTGTATTTATGCTAAGATATACAGAACGGCAGTCAGGTTAATGCAGAAGTCACTGGGCATTTGTCATAGCTAAAGTGGCTTCTGCAAGTTCTTGAGATCAAGTGTATAAATGTCCTTGTCCAGTTTCAGGAGTTGTGTCCGTCCCCCTCCCTCAACCTCTTCAGCAGGAAGTTGACAAGCTGGAGATATCACAGATATCACATAACTTCCATTTTTGACTGTCTGTAGAGATTGCCTCTAGGTTATGAAATACTAGTAGCTTGAAACATGCCACCATCAACATCAAGGACTCAAACCTCATAAATATGAATATATACAGGAAGGAAATTTTAAAATGTTACACAAGAATAGCCTTGATGAGGGACATTAATTAATGACAGTCAATGTCCATTGTTTGCCATAGTTACACAAGCATTGGTTTAAGTTTGAATAGCTGATGAATAGAGCCACTCCAACTTGACAACATTTGTTTGATTTGACTAGTCCCGTATTTACTTTGCTCTGCTGCAATAAGATTGGTGAATGCTAGGTGTCTAACGTGTGCCATTATTATAAATTATTGCTGTCATACAGGACCCTAACGTTCCCTTTACAGGGATACTCATTCACTTTATGTTCACGGTAGCAAAAGTTCACGGTCTGAGAAAAATGGAGATGTTCACGGAACTATATATTCACTGTGGCGACATATGCAGGAAAAAGAAAGTCCAGGAATTATCAGATTTCTAACTCCATGTTTAACTGTAATGATAAGTAATGTACAGAAGTGACAGTGAAAAAAGTGAACATAACAGTACAGTGAATAAATCAGGAATTACATTATTATGTCGATGAATTTCACCTCACCAGTACAGGACCATTATTATATACAGAAATCAGGTACATGTACAAGGAAACAAGATGACCACATATACCAAATATTGTTAGCTATTACTGGACACCTGAGTCCTACCTGACTGTACAGACTACTCTACTCTACTCTACTCTTATTATAATATGTTAGATATTATATCATTATCATGTATTATTTTGTGAGGAAATGATTAACGTTAACATTACATAATTTGCATTATATATGGCTTGCAATGCTCACTCCTACATAACTTAAATAAGACACATATACTAGTATGAGGTCCCAACTATATTTACCATTTCATTGAAGTGTGTCAAGCCTTGACATTTCCTACCAAAATACATGAAATAGTGCACTAGTTTTGGATTATGCAAGTGTAACATTTAGGAATTAGGTCCTGATTTGCATAATTATTATACATTTATGGTCCTGTTGACCCAGATTACCTGTAATATGTAGGTAATCCCTGGGTCACCTAATACTAGTACCAATGAAATATAAATCTTCCACGATGTACATTGAATGCAAATTAGTCTTCGATTTTCATATTCTGCATATACGTGTAACAAAGTTAATTCTGTATTCATGCAGGTTACCCACAAAGTAAAATGTTACATATGTATCTTCGTTGACTTGCTTTATGATCCACTGCCTCTCTTCAATGCAACAATGTTCTGAACATACTGCGCACGATACCCTCCCTACCCGCTATGGTATTAAGGTTACTCCAGGGCACGGGGCAGGAATGTCAGAGCGCCCAGTTGGTGCGCCACACGAGATTGGGCGACAGACAGTGGGAACAAGTCAGTTTACAGCACAACACGAAACGTAAGTCTTCAATATAGACGCATGAGTATTCTGTCACAATAAGAGAGAGATGATCCACGAGTTGACACTTCTTGATGAGACATTCCTGTAACAGAGCACTCGATGGTCGAAGCCGGAACGACCCGTTTTTGGACCCCACGGATGAGGGCGGGGGCGGGGCGGGGAGGGAGGGGTAACGAAGCCGGGATGCTGTCTATATCCTAAGATGAC